AAACATATCCCAACTCCCAACTTTTATGAGGCCATAATTGCTCTGATACAACAAAATTAAAAGAGAAATTAAAAGCCTGGCTTTTAACCAGACAAGCACGGTACAAAAAAAGAATAACTATAGTCCAATATCTCTCGTGAATGTAGATGCAAAAATCCTCAAGAAGATATTAGCAAATAAAATCCAGCAATAGGGGCTTGCCCAGTGGCACAGCGGTTAAGTGCGCACATTCCACTCCGGTGGCCCGGGGTTCACCGGTTTGGATCCCGGGTGCGGACTTGGCACCGCTTGTCAAGCCATGCTGTGGCAGGCGTCCCACATATAAAGTAGAGGAAGATGGGCACAGGCCCAGTCTTCTGCAGCAAAAAGAGGAGGATTGGCAGCAGATGTTAGCTCAGGGCTAATCTTCCTCAAAAAAAAAAAAAAAATCCAGCAATATATGAAAAGATTAATACAATGATGATTGATGGGTTTATCCCAAGAATTCAAGGCTGGCTCAACATCTGAAAATCTATAAACATAATCCAATATATCAACAGACTAAAGAAGAAAAACCACATGATCAAATCAATTGACAGAAAAAGTAGTTGAAAAAATTCAACACCAATTCAAGACAAAAAGTCTCAATCATCTAGAAATAGAAGATTACCTCATTAATTGGATAAAGGCCATCTATCATAAACTCACAGTTAATATCAAACTTGATGGTGGAAGACTGAATGCTTGTCCCCTAAGATTGAGAACAAGGCATGCATGTCTACTCTCACCACTCTTGTTCAACACCATAATCCTTAGCCAGAGCAATAAAGCAAGAAAAAGAAAGAAAAGATGTACAGATCGGAAATGAAAAAATAAAACTGTCCTTATTTGCAGACAACATAATTGTCTATGAAAAAAATTCCAAAGAATCTTTGAAAAGAATCCTGGAACTAATCAGTGAGTTAGCATAATTGCAAGATCCAAGTCAACATATTTTTAAAAACCAATCATATTTCTATATTCTAGCAATGTACAAATGAATTTTAAATCTTCTGAAATTAAAAAAAGTATTATTTACAATATCTCCCCCCAAACTGAAATACTTAAGTATAAATCTGTCAAAGTATGTGCAGTATCTGTATGCCATAAACTTCAAAACACTAATAAAATAAAATTAAAAAGACCTAAATAGGGGCCGGCTCCGTGGCCGAGTGGTTAAGTTCTTGCACTCTGCTGCGGCGGCCCAGGGTTCGGATCCTGGGCGCTGACATGGCACCGCTCGTCAGGCCACGTTGAGATGGTGTCCCACATCCCACAACTAGAAGGACATGCAACTAAGACATACAACTGTGTATAGGGGCGGGGTTGGGGAGATAAAGCAGAAAAAAAAAAAAAAAGACCTAAATAAATGGAGAGACATACCATGTTCACGGATTGGAAAACTCAATATAATTACAACGTCATATCTCCCCTAAACTGATCTATATATTCAATACAATTCCAATCAAATTCCCAGCATGACTTTTTCTAGATATAGAAAAACTGACTGACCTACTTCATATTTGCTATCTTATTGTACTCTTGTACATATTACAGTGATAGAGGACAATTCCTTGTATTTTGCAGTGAGTGGAAATGTAAATTTTAGTAACATAACAAAGAGACTTGTGGTAAAATATTCATCAAATATATGTGATTTTTTTATGTAATAAAGAAATATACCTGAATGTTAAGAGAAATGGGAGGAATGCAGACCACGAAAAATAAAATATAATTGAAAAAAACCTGATTTTAAAACTATGTGGAAAGGCAAAGGAAATAGAACAGCCAAACAATTTTGAAAAAGAAAAATAAAGCTGAAGGAATCACACTACCTGATTTTAAGACTACTATAAAACTATATTACTCAAGACAGTGTGGTGTTGACAAATGGATAGACACATAGGTCACCAGAAAAGAACTGGGTCCAGAATTAGATTCTACTGGCCTCACAAATATGGCCAATTGATTTTTCACAAAGGTGCAAAGGCAGTTCAAAAGAGTGAGGATAGTTTTCAATAAATGGTTTTGGAACAGTCGGATATCCATATGCAAATAAATGAAACTCCATCTAATCCTCAAACTTCATACAAATATTAACTCAGCATGCCAAGAGAAATAAGTCAGACAGAGAAAGACAAACATTGTATGATCTCATTTATATGTGGAATCTAACAAGTAATAAACTGAGATCATAGATACAGAGAAAAGATTGGTGGTTGCCAGGGGTGGTGAGTGGGGTGGGGGGCGATGGGTGAAGAGGGTCAAAAGCTACAAAATTCCAGTTCTGAAATAAATAAGTCATGAGGACATAACGTACAGCAAGGTGACTGTAGTTAATAATACTGTACTGTACATTTCAAAGGTGCTAAGAGAGTAAATATTAAAAGTTTTTATCACAAGAAAACAAAATTTTTAAACTCTGTACAGCGATAGATGTTAACTAAACATATTATGGTGATCATTTTGCAATATATACAAATATCAAATCATCATGTTGTACACCTGAAACTAACACAATGTTATATGTCAACTATATCTCAATAAAAACATTAACTCAGAATGGATATGTAAGTGTAAAACATAAAACTATGAAACTTTTAAAAGAAAATACAAGAGAAAATCTTCATGATTTTGGATTAAGCAAAGTGTTCTTAGATATAACACCCAAAGCACAGTCCATTACAAACTTTTGATAAATCGGACTCTAACTAAATTAAAACCCTTTTTTTCTGTGAAAGCTACTGTTTAAAGACTGAAAAAACAAGCTACAAACAGGGGAAGAAATATTTGCAGACCTCATGTCTACCGAAAGACTTGTATCAAGAATATAAAAAGAACTCTCAAAACTCAACAAGAAGAAAACAATTACCCAATTTAAAAAAAACTGGTGGAATAATTTGAACAGGTACTTTGCCAAAAATGATATGGGCATGGCAAATTAGCACATGAAAAGATGTTCAACATCATAGCCATTAGTAAAATGCAAATTAAAACCATAATGAGAAACCACTATACACCTAACAAAATGGCTAAAAAATTTTTTAAAATAAACCTGATAATACCAAATGCTGACAAGAACACAAAGCAACTGGAACTCTAATATGTTGCTAATGGGAATGCAAAATGGAATGCCATAGTGGAAAAACAGTTTGGAAATTTTTTATACAGTTGAACACACACTTCCCATATGACCCAGCAATCCCACTCTTATGTATTTACCCTAGGGAAATGAAAACATATGCTCACCCAAAAACCTGAGCATGAATGCTAACAGTAGCTCTATTTGTAAATACCAAACACTGGAAACCCAAATGTCCTTTAAAAAGTGAAATGAAAAACAAATGGCAGTATATCCCTAGAATGGAACACTACTAGTCAATAAAAAGGAATGAACCAAAGATACATGCAACCACGTGAATGAATCTCAGTGACATTACGCTAAGTGAAGGAAGCTAGTCTCAAAAGGTTACATACTCTCTGATTCCGTTTATACAGCATTCTGGAAAAGGCAAAACTGTAGGAACAGAGAACACATCAGTGGTTGCCAAGGGTTGGGATGAGGGAAGGGTGTGGCTCAAAGGAGAACAAAAAGGAGTTTTTTGGTGTGATGGAATAGTTATGTATCCTGATTGTGGTGGTGAGTACATGAAATTATACAAATGTTTGAACTGTATAGCAAATAAGTCCATTTTTGCTATGTGTAAATTTTTTAAATAATAATTTAAAAATAGTAGCAATTGATATAGTTTGTATTATACCTTGTTCAAGATTTTAAATGATTTCCATTAATTGTAAGCCACTTGGCTAATTATCTTAAGCTAAATATAAACCCTAAGAAGAATATTTGTTGCCAGAACTTACTGGTTGAAAATTTGCTGGTGAACCTCAATCCTTGGAAAAGTGTTTACCTTAATTTCTCCCTTTTTTATCCTTCTGATGCTTTCTTCCTTTCCCATCTCTCTGGTGCTCTTGCCCTCTGTCTCCTCTTCTCTCGCCCCCACTTCTTTTCTACCCCTTTGTCTTTATCCTAGCTTAACTGATCATATTTTAACCTGAGGTATATATTTTACATTATATTTTTTGTCATTAAAAAATGAAAACTTATACTTCTTTTTCTTTATTTTTTTAAGTTGAATGAACAGAACATTTTACATTTCTCTCTCAAAATTAAATATTCTGTCAAATTACTTAAAGTTGACTTTTACCTGTGAATAATTTTCAAAACTGGTATTTTCCCCTTGGTCACTCAGGAGCTCTCAAGAAGGGGGAAAAGATTTCCCCCCGTGATCGAGAGAGTAGGCAGATCTTTCCTCTTAAAGCTGATGTAACTTTCATTCTTTCATATTATGAAGATTAAGCTTTATCCAGATGCTTTTTAAAAAATATATCAAAAGTGAAATTGCATATTTAAAACAACTTTTTTGAGAGACACACATAGCAATTTTCCAACATTGCTTTCATTTTAGGCATATATCTTCTTTGAAGCCAATATATTTGTAACCAAGGAGCTATATACAAAATACTCATCTAAGAGAAAGATTTAAGGCTAACTTAAACCGTTGATGTCACGTAGACACAGCTATTTGCATTTAAAGGTGATAATCAGGAATTAAATTGAGCACTAGAAAAAGGTGTCAGGTTAAGAAGAAAAATTGGGTTTGGGAGATTAAGAAGATGAACTATGTTAACTAGACTTATTGTGGTGATCATTTCACAATATATACAAATATTGAATCATTACACTGTACAACTGAAAATAATATAATGTGTATGTCCATAATACCTCAATAAAAAAGAAAAGAAAAGAAAAAGATGAGCTGTATTAAGAAAAAGATTAAGGAAAAGCTTGCTTGTCAATTTACAAGGCATAGCTAGAAACAGTTTGAGAGACAGAATTTCTAGACAAACAGAAAATTTGAGCCAGCTCATCATATAAAAAGGTAGCTTTCTGCATAACCAAAAGAGAAAAGATATTTTACTTTTATCTCCACTGCCATCTTCAGGTTTTTTCCCACTGTCCTTTCCATCTTCATCTTCCGAGTTTTCCACCTCCTGAATAAACATCCTTTTCCCCTTTGCTTGACTCTTAGATGCAGGTTCAGAATCTTTCAGATCTCGTTCAACCTCTGACAAGGTTTTCTGCAACATAAACGCCATAAACATCATTAAAGAAAATGTTCTTCTTTAATAAAAAAAAAAAACCATTCATTCAGGTGAGAATATGAAGATAGTATTAAAAAGCGAATAAAGATAACTTAGATAAGGTTTTTATGGTGATCTTTTTCTTTTTCAAACAAGTTCATTGCTTTGTCTGATTATAATCATATATGTCTACTGTAAAAAACTTAAAACATAACAAGTACAAACAGGAAAGAAAAAACTCATCTGAATTCCTGCTGCTCAGATAACACTATTGAAATTCTGAGGATCATTTTCCTCTGTTCTTATATGTCAAATTGTCTCTGTGTCTTATGTGTCAAAATTGCCTTTAGTGGAGTCAGAGCTGCCTTTCCAGAGAAACTGCCTGCTGTCTTGAACCTTGGACTGGGACAAACCTTTGCACTGGGCCAAAATGGCAATTGTTTTACAAGCAGTTGTTTGGGAGAAAGCAGGAGAAAGGACATCTTGATCACAAAGACTGAGGATTATGGACTTTCTGAAGATAGAATGGATAGTCAATCAATATTTAGCCAAGACTACCTCTCTGCCTTCAACTCCAATTAAAATGCTTTATAACATAATCTCCTTTCTTTGCCTTTAAAAGCCCCTGACTTTTCCTCCCTAGCAGGACACTATTTGGGTTTCTACTTGAATCTGTGCTACCCAAATTGCAGTTCTTGAGCCTCTAAATAAACTTTTTGCTTCTCTTGTAGTTTATGCCTCTTATTCCTGGACATATGCATGTACACCCTCATAGATGTATAATTTTATACAAATTAAATCATACTACACATGACTTTTTTAGAGTAATGTTGAAAGTTCTTTAATATTTCATGCCAACTGGAATGAAAAATATGTATATCAGAACATTCCCCGCCCCATTCTTTTTTTTTTTTTAAGATTTTATTTTACTTTCCTTTTTCTCCCCAAAGCCCCCCGGTACATAGTTGTATATTCTTTATTGTGGGTCCTTCTAGTTGTGGCATGTGGGACGCTGCCTCAGCGTGGTCTGATGAGCAGTGTCATGTCCGCGCCCAGGATTCCAACCAACGAAACACTGGGCCGCCTGCAGCGGAGCGCGCGAACTTAACCACTCGGCCACGGGGCCAGCCCCTCCCCGCCCCATTCTTAACAGCTTACTGAGGTATGCATAATTGACAAACTGCATGTACTTAAAATGCACAAGTTGATAGATTTTGACATAATAATAAACATATCCATCATTCCCAAAAGTTTTTTCCTGTCTTTTTGTAATAACTTCCATTCGCTCCTCCCTGCAACCACTGTCCTTTCTGTCATAATAGGTTAGTTTGCATTTTCTAGGATTCTACATAAATAGAATCATACTGTATGTACTCTTTTTTTGTTCTGGCTTCTTTCTCTCATCATAATTATTTTGAAATTCACGCATGTTGTTGTGTTTATCTATTATAGTTCATTCCTTTTGATTGCTAAGTCGCATTCTACTGTACGAATATAACATAATTTGTTTATCCATTTACCTGCTGAAGGACATTTTAAGGTGTTTTAAATTTTTCATGATTACAAATAAAACCATTATGAACATTTATGCATAATCTTTGTGTGGACATACACTTGCATTTTTCTAGGGTAATACCTAGGAATCAGATGGTTGGATCATAAGGTAGGTATGTGATTTTATGTTTAACTTTTTTTTTTTTTAATTTTCGGATGTACATCATAATATATTTTGAATTCTGTGTGGATTACATCATGTTCACCACCCGAAAACTAATCATAGTCCATCACCTCACATGTGAGCCTCATCACCCCTTATGCCCTCTCCCGTCACCCCTCCCCCTCTGGTAACCACCAATCCAATCTCCAATGCTATGGGTTTGTTTTTATCTTCTACTTCTGAGTGAGATCATATGGAATTTGACTTTCTCCCTCTGACTTACTTCACTCAGCATAATATCCTCAAGGTCCATCCATGTTGTCACAAATGGCCGGATTTCATCATTTCTTATGGCTGAGTAGTATTCCATCGTGTATAAATACCACATCTTCTTTATCCATTTGTCCCTTGATGGGCACCTAGGTTGCTTCCATGTCTTGGCTATTGTATATAATGCTGCAATGAACATAGGGGTGCAAGGATCTTTATGCCTTTGTGTTTTCAAGTTCTTTGGATAAATACCCAGCAGTGGAATAACAGGAGATCTATTGGTAGATCTATTCTTAATTTTCTAAGGATACTCCATACTGCTTTCCATAGTGGTTGCACCAGTTTGCACTCCCACCAGCAGTGAACAAGTGTTCCCTTCTCTCCACATCCTCTCCAACATTTGTTGTTTCCTGTTTTGTTAATTATAGCCATATACCTGATTGTAGTTTTGATTTGCATTTCCCTGATAGCTAATGATGTTGAACATCTTTTCATACGCCTGTTGGCCATCTGTATATCTTCTTTGGAGAAATCTCTGTTCAGATTTTTTGCCCATTTTTTAATTGGATTGTTGGTTCTTTTGTTGTTGAGCTATACGAGTTCTTTGTATATTTTTGATATTAACCCCTTATCTGATATATGGTTTGCAAATATCTTCTCCCAATTGTTAGGTTGTCTTTTTGTTTTGTTGATGGTTTCCTTTGCTGTGCAGAAGCTTTTTAGTTTGATGTAGTCTCATTTGTTCATTTTTTCTTTTGTTTCCCTTGCCCGGTCAGACATGGGACTTGAAAATATGCTGCTAAGACATGTCAAAGAGCGTACTGCCTATGTTTTCTTTGAGAAGTTTCATGGTTTCAGGTATTACATTCAAGTCTTTAATCCATTTTGAGTTGATTTTTGTGCATGGTGTAAGGGAATGGTCTACTTTCATTCTTTTGCATGTGGCTTTCCAGTTTTCCCAACACCATTGATTGAAGAGACTCTCTTTTCTCCATCGTATGCTCTTGGCTCCCTTGTCAAATATTAGCTGTCCATAATACGTGTGGGTTTACTTCTGGGCTCTCAATTCTGTTCGATTGATCTGTGTGTATGTTTTTGTGCCAGTACCATTCTGTTTTGCTTACTATGGTTTTGTAGTATATTTTGAAATCAGGGAGTGTGATACCTCCAGCTTTGTTCTTTTTTCTCAGGAATCCTTTGGCTACTCGGAGTCTTTTGTTATTCCATATAAATTTTAGGATTCTTTGTTCTATTTCTGCGAAAAATGTTCTTGGAACTTTGATAGGGATGGCATTGAATCTATAGATTGCTTTAGTAAGTATAGAAATTTTAACGATGCTAATTCTTCCAATCCAAGAGCACAGAATATCTTTCCATTTCTTTGTGTCTTCTTCAATTTCTTTCAACAATGTTTTATAGTTTTTGGTGTATAGATCTTTCACCTCTTTGGTTAAGTTTATTCCTAGGTATTTTATTCTTTTTGTTGCAATTGTAAACGGGATTGTATTCTTAATTTCTCTTTCTGCTACTTTGTTGTTAGTGTATAGAAACACAACCGATTTTTGTATGTTGATTTTGTATCCAGTGACTTGACTGTATTTCTTTATTGTTGCTAAAAGTTTTTTAGTGGATTCTTTAGGGTTTTCTAGATATAAAATCATGTCATCTGCCAATTGTGACAGTTTCACTTCTTCTTTTCCAATGTGGATCCCTTTCATTTCTTTTTCTTGCCGGATTGCTCTGGCTAGGACTTCCAATACTACGTTAAATAAGAGTGGTGACAGTGGGCATCCTTGTCTGGTTCCTGTTCTTAGCGGGATAGCTTTCAGTTTTTCTCCATTGAGGATGATATTTGCTGTGGGTTTGTCAGATATGGCCTTTATTATGTTGAGGTATTTTCCTTCTATACCCATTTTATTTAGAGTTTTTATCATAAATGGATGCTGTATCTCGTCAAATGCTTTCTCTGCATCTATTGAGATGATCATGTGATTTTTATTCTTCATTTTGTTAACGTGGTGTATCAAGTTGATAGATTTGCAGATGCTGAACTATCCCTGCATCCCTGGAATGAAACCCACTTGATCATGATGTATGACATTTTTAATGTATTGTTGTATTTGATTTGCTAGTATTTTGTTGAAGATTTTTGCATTGATGTTCACCAGTGATATTGGCCTGTAATTTTCTTTTTTTGTGTTGTCCTTGTCTGGTTTTGGTATCAAGATAATGTTGGCTTCGTAGAATGAGTTAGGAAGCCTCCCCCTCCTCTTCAACTTTTTGGAAGAGTTTGAGAAGGATAGGTATTAAGTCTTCTCTGAATGTTTGGTAGACTTCACCAGGGAAGCCATCTGGTCCTGGACTTTTATTTTTTGGGAGGTTTTGATTGCTGTTTCGATCTCCTTACTGGTGATTGGTCTATTCAAATTTTCTACTTCTTCTTGGTCCAGTTTTGGAAGGTTCTATGTTTCTAAGAATTTATCCATTTCTGCTAGATTATCCAATTTGTTGGCATATAGCTTTTCATAGTATTCTCTTATTATCTTTTGTATTTCTGAGGTGTCCGTTGTAATCTCTCCTCTTTCATTTCTGATTTTATTTATTTGAGACTTCTCTCTTTTTTTCTTGGTGAGTCTAGCTAAGGGTTTGTCAATTTTGTTTATCTTTTCAAAGAACCAGCTCTTGGTTTCATTAATTTTTTTCTATTTTTTTAGTCTTTATTTCTGCTCTGATTTTTATTATTTCCTTCCTTCTGCTGATTTTGGGCTTTGTTTGTTGTTGTTTTTCCAGTACCTTTAGATGCACTTTTAGATTGTCTATTTGGAATTATTCTTCTTTGTTGAGGTAGGCCTGAATTGCTATAAACTTCCCTCTTAGAACCACTTTTGCTGTATCCCATAGATTTTGGCATGTCATGTTTTCATTTTCATTTGTCTCCAGGAATTTTTTGATTTCTTCATTGACCCAATCGTTGTTCAGTAGCATTTGTTTAATCTCCACATTTTTGTGGCTTTTCTGGTTTTCTTCCAACCTTCTTAAATTTATTGAGACTTGTTTGTGGCCTAATATG